CTCATATATGAGCTCATTTTAACTGCTCCTAACTTGTTTGGATAAAACTTTTGAGCAAAATTCTAAAGCTGTAAGAGAATATTTAATATAAATATAAAATTTGGAGAATATGTTCGGTATGATAATACATGCTATCCAAACAGTAAAAGCTTCTGAAGAGTTACCAAACTGGTGTGAGAACTTTTTTATTTACTAATAGTACGTGGGCTGCTTTTAAGTCTTGCACCGAACAATGAAAACACAGTGGTTACTTAGTGAAAATAGTTTTATTGTTTTTCGAAGTATTCTCAATGATGATCAATACATTTTTACATTCGATTGATTCAATTTTCGAAGCAGTTTTGCGACTCTGAAGTTCGTGTCTCCAAAACCAGAGTTTTAAATGTCTCAACGGCCTGTCCGGGCGTAAAGAAACACTCATCACGTATTTTTTCTTGATGTTTGGCAATAATAAGTTATTGGGTGCGTGTCCGAACTATACGGCGCATGACCCATCAATTCGACTTCCGGAAAACAAATGGTTGTATACCACTCAGAATTAATCGTTCTACGTTGTTCAAGTGCTACAATTGCGACATGACCGGCTTTTATAAAGAAACATGCGATAATTTGCTTTGATTTACTTTGTCCGCGTACAATTTTTAACGAGTTTTGGACCCAAATAGTGGATTGCAGTTTTATCATATTCTATCTCGTTACCTTATACGTGTTTTGAACTAGCTCAGCTGTATTTTTTTAGCATCTTCTTGCCCCAGTCAACACGTATCTCCTTTTGAGCGATTATCAAACTATGGGGGATCCAACTGAAACAAATTTGACCGCTAAATGTATTTGTAAAATTGAATGTGTGCTGGTCGCGCAAGTGCCCAAGGATGGTTCTATCTCCCAGTATGTAACATACATCTGAATCATTCCTCGCACTGCATCGATGTTTTCTGGTGTAACAGCCGTTCTTCTGAGTTTAAAACTAAGCTCAAAACGAATTTTCAGTCTCGATAGTCTATAGCTAAATACACTATAGGGGTTTTTACCTGATGTACGAACCGTCAACTTAAATCAAACCACAAAACTTAAAGCTATCTGTTTATCAAGGATATTGAGAATATAATTATTAATTAATTGAAAAAATCATTCCTGAATTTCACAATTCTCTTCCCAGACAATTAAGTACTTTAAGGATTTTTGCTTAGAGCTTTGTATAAACATTTGTGGTTTCGATTAACTATAATCAGAGTCCCTTCTAATTTCTATATAAATACAGTTATCTGGAATTAAAACTAATAAACTAAACACTGTACCTATCTTGAACTTACTATTCTGTAGTCAATCAAGATGAACGCATTAATAGTGAAACATCGCGAAAAAAATTTCGATCGGTACATAAATGGCACTATCAAATTGTTTAAAGTACTGGGCATAACTTTTGAGAAGAATCAACTTCACAATAAAATATTAAAAGGATTTTATTTATTGGGCTGCTCAGTTATCTTAATACAGCTAGTATGTGCATTGCTTCTGTGTGATAAAAACTTTGCAGAAATTTCAGATGTCGTTAGTAATATAAATTATTTAACTGTTGGTTTATGCAAAATGCTATTTTTAATATATAATCGGTCATCACTTGGTAATTGTTATATACAATTAAAGACAATTTATCCTTATACAGAAGTTGAGAAGAGATATCATCTATCGAAGTATTTAAGAACATACCTAAAGATTGAAAAGTTTCTATGGATATTTTTGAAATATCTTTTTATTATATTTTTTTGTTATCCGTTTATATTATCATGTTACTCCTTCTGGAAATACGATAATTTTTTATATATAACTCCGTTTAAACTGTGGTATCCCATAGATGTTCATAAAACTTATCCTGGATATATTTTGTATTATTTGTTCGAAACCATTATTGGATTCTTCAATTCAATTTCAATCCTTAGCACCGATCTATGCTTTTTGGGTTGTATTTTACAGTTTTGTATGCATTATGATATTTTATGCAAAAAGATATCAGAAATTAATCCAGAGGGTCCAGACTGTGTTTGTCAATTGAAAAACATTATTAAGGAGCATCAAATTCTGTTACGGTAATCATATAGTATATATATCTAAAATATTTATCCATTATAAATAAACTAAAATATTTCAGACTTGTTAAGAAAATCGACAGAATATTTTCTCCTTCCGTGTTACTTAGTTTGATGTCCTCTTCGTTTATTTTGTGTTTTACTACCTTCAGATTATTAAATGAGAAGTCTTTACTTTTAGTTTCCCTTTCAATTTTAATACTCGGTTTCGAAATGAAGGAAGTGGTTATAATTTGCTACATCGGAAATTTACTCATGGACAACGTAATGATCTATTTTATTATAAATTCAGTTTTCAATGGATTCTCTATATTTTATAGTTTCTTATCTTTCAGAGTTCTAAGATGTTCGATGCTCTCTGCACACAAAACTGGTTACGAAGTTCATTGGAATATAAGAAGATGGTTTTACTAATGTTAATGGTAACAAGACGACCAGTTACTTTGAATATAACGGGCATAGCTGAAGTTAATCTAGTGACATTGAAACAAGTACGTAAATAAACTCTCTATTAATGATGTTGACTAAATATATAAATGGCACTTCACTTGGTACAGGTGCTGAGTTTCGCTTTTCAGGTATTTGCTGTTCTAAAGAACATCTAAGATTTGAATTTAATATTTGTAATTTCGTATAAATGATATTATACATATATCTAATATACTTTATTTGACTAGTAAATAATTTGTTTTTAATTGGAATCTGTCGTAAGTCTAGAGATTATTTGAAAAATTTATATTATAATATAATGTAAAGGATTGCTTCAATTAAAAATAAAAAATTGAATTATGTTTGACAGACGATAATTTTTGCATAGAATTTTCTTTAACATCCTGCATATTGGTTAGTATTGAAAGCATATAATGAAATGTCTTCTTTTAAAAATCCTCGTTTCATACCAAGAAGTTGAAAAAAAAACATTAATATATCGAACTGTGGTACAAAGAATGTCAAATATCATTATGGAAATCCATAAAAGTTTTGCAGCCATACCAAAACTGAACGCACATTAGAGAACGAAATTAGACGCCTGTTCTTGTCTATTTAAAATAATGTTCTCAAAAGGTCTATTTTTGATATGTATTGTATGATTCTATAATGGCTTAAATCTATACCCACAGTATTTTTGTTTTTCCTGAGAAAGGTCTATTTTGCAATGAACTTTTCTTTATGGTATATGAATGAAAAGATCTTCATAATCATTAGGTTGGGTTAGACTATGGTGGCGATTCAAAAGGTATGCTCAGATATATTAGCCCTTTCTGTCACAATGTAGAGAAAATTCAGAGGATTACAAACCATCTAAAACCTTTAGCAAAGCTTAAAATGCTTATTGGTAGGAGATTCCGGACTTGACCAAGGTCCTCAAAAAGGGAGGCCATTAAAATAATAAAACGGTACTACACATACAAAGAGCAATAACAAAGCAATTGTAATGCACTTCCACCGTTCTCTCCACAACTGCGAAAGGAATAATTAAAACAAAGATTCAATTTTCTAGCTTAGTTTCCTAACCGGCTATGACCAGTGACCACACACACAATGAAAACACTTTATCTCATTGAGTCGTATATCGGTATTTAATATATATGTATGTAATCTGTATTATATTTATATTCTTCTCTAATATCTTTCAAACTTAATAATTCAGAAAAGTAATTATTCAATTTTCTATTATTGTATTAGAGATATATAATTATTTTCTCATTGGTAAATAGGTATGTTTAAAAATTTTTATTACGACCGCAAATCTTGAAGTTTAAATGTACTAACCACCTGAAGGTCATCACTTATATTTTCCTGAAACGATTTTAAAACAATTAAGCCATTTTCTTTTTAAACGGTTGTGGTTTCTATTAAATATAATTACCTTTAGAAATGGTTTTATAAGCAAATTAATTTCTATAAACTAAACTATATAGGATCACACAATATACCATATATATGGAGACAATTCATTAGTTTTCTTCAGTCGGCTAAGATGAACGCATTGATAATAAAACATCGCGAAAAAAACTTCGATCGGTACATAAATAGACCTATGAAGTTATTTAAATTCTTGGGTATAACTTTTGAGAAGGATCAACTTCACAATAAAATACTAAAAGGATTTTATTCATTGGGCTGCTCAGTTGTCTTAATACAAATATTATGTTCACTATATCTGTGTGATAAAAACTTTGCAGAAATTTCAGAGGTCGTCAGTAGTACAAATTATTTAATTGTTGGTTTATGCAAAATGCTATTTTTAATTTATAATCGGTCATCACTTGGTAATTGTTATATACAGTTAGAAACAATTTATCCTTATACACAAGTTGAGAAAAGGTATCAGGTATCGAAGTATTTAAAAACATACCTAAAGATTGAAAAGTTTCTATGGATTTTTTTGAAATATCTTTTTATTATATTTTACGGTTGTCCGTTCATATTATCATGTTATGCCCTATGGAGATATGATAATTTCTTATATTTAACTCCGTTTAAAATGTGGTATCCCATAGATCTTCATAAAACTTATCTTGGATATATTTTCTATTATCTGTTCGAAACCATTATTGGATTCTTCGATTCAGTTTCGATCCTGAGCTCCGATCTATGCGTTTTGAGTTGTATTTTACAGTTTTGCATGCATTATGATATTTTATGCAAAAAGATATCAGAAATTAATCCAGAGGATCCAGACAGTGTTTGTCAATTGAAAAACATTATTAAGGAACATCAAATTCTGTTACGGTAACCATATATATTTGTGTCTAAAATATGTTTATATCAATATGTTTTTTTCTCCCAAAATATTTCAGACTTGTTAAGAAAATCGACAGAATATTTTCTCCTTCGGTGTTACTTAGTTTGATGTCCTCTTCGTTTATTTTGTGTTTTACTACCTTCAGATTATTAAATGAAAAGTCTTTATTTTTAGCTACCGTAGCAATTTTAATACTCGGTTACGAAATGAAGGAAGTGGTTATAATTTGCTATTTCGGAAATTTACTCATGGACAACGTAAGGATCTATTTTATTATAAATTCAGTTTTTAATGGGTTATCTAGAATTTATAGTTCCTTATCTTTCAGAGTTCTAAAATGTTCGATGCTCTCTGCACACAAAACTGGTTACGAAGTTCTTTGGAATATAAGAAGATGGTTTTACTAATGTTGATGGTAACAAGACGACCAGTCACTTTGAATATATCCGGCATAGCTGAAGTTAATCTAGTGACATTGAAACAAGTACGTAAATAAACTCTCTATTAATGATGTTGACTAAATATATAAATGGCACTTCACTTGGTACAGGTGCTGAGTTTCGCTTTTCAGGTATTTGCTGTTCTAAAGAACATCTAAAATTTGAATTTAATATTTGTAATTTCATATGCATGTTAATATACATATATATCTAATAAACTCTATTTGACTAATAACTAATTTGTTTATAATTTTAATCTCTAGTTTATTATGATTATGTGAAAAATTTATATTATAATATAATTTATTTTTTAATATATAATTATATTTGACAGACAATAATTTTTGCATAGATTTTTCTTTAACATCCTGCATATTGGTTAGTATTGAAAGCATATAATAAAATGTCTTCTTTTGTAAATCCTCATTCCATACCAAGAAGTTAAAAAAAATCTTTAATATATCAAACTGTGGTACAAGGGATGTCAAATATCATTTTGGAAATCCATAAAAATTTTCCAGCCATGCAAAAACTGAACACACATTTTATTAGCTACATAAAAGAGGACAAGATTTGACGCCTATTCTTGTCTATTTAAGATAATATTTTCAAAAGGTCTATTTGTGATGTGTATTGTATGATTCTATATTGGCTTAAATCTATCTCCACAGTATTTTTGTTTTTCCTGAGAAAGGTCTATTTTGCAATGAACTTTTCTTTATATGAATGAACTGATCTTCATAATCATTAGGTTGGGTTAGACTATGGTGGCGATTCAAAAGGTATGCTCAGATATATTAGCCCTTTCTGTCACAATGTAGAGAAAATTCAGAGGATTAAAACCCATCTTAAACCTTTAGCAAAGCTTAAAATGCTTATTGGTAGGAGATTCCGGACTTGACCAAGGTCCTCAAAAAGGGAGGTCATTAAAATAGTAAAACGGTACTGCACATACAAAGGGCAATAACAAAGCAATTGTAACGCACTTCCATCGTTCTCTCCACAACTGCGAAAGGAATAATTAAAACAAAGATTCAATTTTCTAGCTTGGTTTCCTAACCGGCTATGCCCAGTGATCACACATACAACAAGACTAATATCTTTACAATGAAAACACTTTATCCCATTAAGTCGAATATCAGCATTTATTAGATATGTATGTAATCTGTATTATATTTATATTCCTCTCTAATATCTTTCAAACTTAATAATTCAGAATGTGATTATTCGATTTTCTATAATTGTATTAGAGATATATAATTATTTTCCCATTGGTAAATAGGTATGTTTACTAATTCTTATTACGACCGCAAATCTTGAAGTTTAAATGTACTAACCACCTGAAGGTCATCACTTATATTTTACTGAAACGATTTTAAAACAATTAAGCCATTTTCTTTTTAAACGATTGTGGTTTCTATTAAATATAATTACCTTTAGAAATGGTTTTATAAGCAAATTAATTTCTATAAACTAAACTATATAGGATCACACAATATATATCTCCATATATATGGAGACAATTTATTAGTTTTCTTCAGTCGGCTAAGATGAACGCATTGATAATAAAACAGCGCG